TCTCCAGCAGGATAGTGACTGCCTTATCGCCTGAGGTGTTTGTGTACATAGGTTTTATGTCAAAACGTACCAACATTTCCGTCCCTGACAGTCCAATATTTTGATCTTTTAAGAAAATTCATATAAATTCTTCTCATTCTTATTGCCTCCATTTCTCACGATTTTACAGTGAGCCTTAGAAGACAGTGCCTTCCTTTAAAGGGGTGAACTTCATTTGAATTTGGATTTTTCTTCACAGTTTTTAGGTTTGAATAATTTAAAGTCAGCAAACCTATTTCTTTGCACTTCAGAATTCAGCATTATTTCTTGTCCTAAGTTATTTGGAAGTGAGACTACTATGTAGAATACAAGTTATGTGGCAGAATATATACCAAAAGAAAAACAATTGCTGTCAAATTAAAAATATTGCAACAGTAATGAATGAGCAAGGCGGAGACATTAAATTCCATGTGCTAGCTAACTTGATTAATATGCCTCATTCTCTGCGGCATCGGGGGGCTGGCGAGCAAAGCACATGCATATGCCTGGAACAAAGCCTGCACTGGAGTAGTATCAGCAAAGCCGGTCTCGTGAAAATTCTTATCAGCCGCTCCGACAATAGGCTCTGAAATGGTAGCATCTACACTAATACCCTGTGCCTTCAGATGTTCACCAGGCCCTAACAAATGCTGATCGGCATGTTGAAGCTGCAATCTGACAAGACTAAGTCGGCGTACTAAACAGCTCACTAATCGGCACGCAGGCGCAAGCATGGCTAGCAGCAAGTCAGTCTTGCTGCTACAGAGGAACGCCGGCGCGGATGATATATATGCAGTGTCACTACTGGAGCCTCGTGACCAGTCAGCTTGACTGAAGAGTATGAAAAAGTCGGATAGACGCTGTGCGCCAAAATATGCATGTGTGCAAAGGTTAGTTAAAGTATTGGATGAGGCACATTAAAAAGATTTAAAAATATATCATAATAGAAATATCAAGATAGATTTAGAATTTAGTCATATTAGGTCGGCAAAGATAATTAAGGACTGTTAGTTGGGCCTTTACCATAACAGAGTAGACCTCACTTAGCCTTCATTATCTAAAGATTCTCTTATCTGAATAAGATTGTAGGTATGAAGACGAGGATGGTGTGGACTTTTATAGTCACGGTCTCCTTTCGTTGTATAGAAATGATTTGACATTATTTTCGCAACTTGGGCATATTAGCAGGAAAGCCTAGAAGAACAAACCTGGTTCGGATTCCCATAGTGTACATTATAATTTCCAGTCGGACCGTGGACTTGGTACATTCCCAGACGTTTCGCCGACATCGTCAGTGAGTCATGCCAATCTCAGCAATTAAGTTATAACACGTCAAAGAGACAAGTGAAGTCAATCTCTTAACCAACTTTCTGTCGATACGGTTGTGCCATCACTTCTCGTTCTGTCCTTGCCCCTCTCCATTTCTAACTCTCTTGTCTTGCCCTCGTCCTATCACAACTTTTGACATGATTATTTCTACAAGAGAAGTGTTCTTTTGGAGAAATTAATGTGGCGCCATAACACCTGTCGTTTGTCTTGCTTTCCTCCCTTATGAGTGACTGATCCGACCCTTTTCCAGATCTGCCTCATGGGTCCATAGATCCGTTTCTTATCCTTCTGGTTGACCGATTTCACTTGGTTCAAGCCCCAGTGTATTATTACTCCATGTGATATTTCCCAAGCCTTGATTAGCACGTACAAAGACGCCTCATCTACAGAGGGTCTAGGCTCTGATTCCCATGCTTGCGGATATTAGGCATCACCTTCACGGACAATCTATTAGTTTAAGTCCGTGTACCCTGAGCAAACTGTGGACATCTATCTCTGGTCGCCTGCTGCATCTAAAGTAGATGGTCCTAATGCCCAATTTCCTTCTCAAAAGGATAAATAAGCTTATATGAGCTAGTAGGAAATTGTGATAGTGAAGGAATTATACAACATAGGATAAGTGAATAGACCAAGGTAGAAGAGATATCACAACTGTTGAGCAGACAATTGGTCAAAGGATCGATTTAACTTGTCACTTTCAAGAGTTGTGGTGATGTAGGTCGCAGGTCCGTGCGCCGAGGACCTATTTGCACAAATTTACAATCATTGCTCCAAGACAATACCCCCCCAGCTTCCGGTGGAACCAACTTACAAATGCATTGCACTCGCCTCCTCAAATTAAATGAAAGCTAGTCCAGCATCAATTTATTAAGAGATCCTTCTAAATCCAGTTTTTCTACATAGCTAAAATTTAAAGTATTTGCAACTACAAAAATCAGTTTTTTCCATCTCAAACCTGTATCAAGTTGGTCAGTAAGGCAAGTCCATCCATGCTATAGAGACGGATGGCTGCTAGACACTGATTTAATACAAGTTGGCGTTCCGGCAGCACATCAAGAGAAAGTCGAGTGCCAAAAGCCATGCCCAGTCCGAATGTGTCGGCGTCCTCTTCGCCATGCGAAAACGTACAGACCTGACCAACTAGCAGACGTAGCAAAACAAGAAGTGCTGGTGGCAGCGAATGGCCTGCTATGTCACCCCCTTGACTTGTAGAACTGTTTTGCCCGAGAATGCACGAACAACTAGAAGCAGAATATTGTTGCTGCCTACACTGGGGATTATGACGCATTTGCTTATGGTTAGGTCCATAAGGACATCGAGGGGCGGAGCCTGCCAGCAGGCCTTCTGCAGGAGATAGATCGCGACAGACAGCGATTATAAGCTCACCCGCCAGCTCGATGTCTACTAGGTTGTCGAGTGATTCTTCTAGATCAGTCGTTAACGAACGCAGCTGGCCAATCAGCCAAGGCAACGAGTCAACTGAAAGCGGTGAGGCGGGCAGAGCAAGAGAAAGAGCAGGCTTGCCTGGGCCACCGCTACCAACTGCGCTAGTAGAGACAGAAATGGGTGTAGGAAGATCTCGAAGCCAGTGTAGCCAGGGTGCTAAAGTTGAGCTGAATGAACGAAGACGAAGGAAGACGCTGGCGGGGGAATTTTCTCCAAGACTCTCCTCCCAATGTGTAGCTGAGTCGCAAATTAACGGAGAATAAACATAATTGCGACCCAAGGATTTTAATAAACCATAACTACACATTATTCATTTATTAATACAAACCGCGAGTTAAGGAAATAATTTAGAAAATGAGAATTGCTTAGTGCCAAAAATAAATTTTCGATCTGTCGACGAAGATTTATGATAGGCATTTCAAGGTTGCATTCCAACTGAATGTTGAGTGTAATGCAGTTAAAGTGGTTGGATTCAAAACCTGATAGCTATAAGATAAGTGCCTTTATCTAATGGTCAATTTTAACTTTTAAAAGATATAGCTTCGTAAATCAATTTATCGTAAGGCATGAAAAAGAAGTAGCGATAAAATTAATTATAACATAAATTAAGATAATGCAAATTAGTTAAGGAAATATTGCATGATATAATTTTTATATTTTGAAATATAAAAGCTTAATACACTATAAATAAAAAGAAAAAATTATGCTAAAATAACAGATCATTTAATTAAATATAATGTTACTGACGCACCACTGGTAAGTCGGGCCAGTTTAACTCCATATCTATTCAGATAACTAGCATCTTCGCTATGTTGAATAAGCGCCAATGTGATAGTGGCAACAAGACTGGCCGGCTCTATAGAAGAGGAGAGAGTAGTGCGCGAAAGTGGAGGCTTTTTCGAAACTTTCGTCGTGTCAGCCGAGCCCCCAGGTCCAGATGTGACAGAAATGCTTGTTTTATCCTCATTAGATGGAGAGTCTGAAATAATGCAAACAATACGAAGGGTTCTCACGAGAATAACAAGGGGTTTAACTCTTTCAAATAACATAAACATTAGAGGCTTTTGCAGGTTGACACGATTCGAAAACTAAGAAAGGTTATCAGAAATATTAAGCAATGTACTTTAGTGAATCATAGTTCTTAATATATTAGTCAACGAAGCAACATCTAATGAAGCACTATAGTACATAATGCTGGATATTAAGACGCCGTATGGTTGCAAATTTATGGAAAGAAGCCAGATCAAAATATTGAGACAATGATCGCTATAACCAATAGCAAAGTTATTCTGAAATAAAGGTTGATTTTTAATAATATACGATTTAGTGTATTTTATTTCATCCATAAAGAATTAGTCAAGATGAACATTAGCGCCAATCGTTCCTTATCAAAACAAATAAGTGCAATTCTGTATATGGTGATAATTCTGGGTAATAGTATAACACTGTCATAGTTGGTATAGTGCCCGTGTCAGTTAGCTTGAGAGACCAAAAACATGAAACCGACTTATTTTCTCTGAATTATAAGCTCCTTGTCTTATTATTTTCCAATAGATGATTATTCTTAATTCCGAAAATTTATCCAAATTCAAATGCAGATCTGCTAGTTGGTTAAATCTGTTTCTTAATTCTGGGCCTGAATGAGAATGTTTTGTGCTCCAAAAAAGTCTAATGAACGCCGGTGATGCATTAATGGGATGAGTGAAAGTTCATAATCATGTCAAATTGTATTATAATTATATTGGAAGAAATGAGTAATAAAAAAGACTGAAAAACTGAGGAAAAATAATAATAAGCAGAAGAGTTGCTTATCTGTCCCTAGAGGACCTATATACCAGTTATGGAAAAAAATGACAGATTTAAAATAATTAGCTTAAAGAATTTAATCTTACCATTAGCCTCAAGATGTGCCCATGCCTCCAGAAGTAACATGATAGGGAGGAAAAAGTCATCCATTGCTAAAATCTGAGCAACCCAGGCAGCCGCTAGAGACGAAGAATACACGTTTACCGGAGATGCTGTTTTAAGAAAAGAAGGAAACTGCATCCATTTCTGCTGCTCATTTTGATCGATTTTTTGCATTTCAGTCTCTCCTTCAGAAGCCTTCCTTTCAGGACTTGATTTTAAGTCATCTCCTGACTTAAGCTTATTAACGCAGGACTCTAACTTTGTTTGCCGTCCATCTGAGTAAAGGGTGAATGCTGAAACCATTTCGATCGAAAATGAAGTTGAGAGTGATGGAACGGTGGGTGGAGAAACGCAGAGTCTAGCCAGACCAAAGAGAGCATCGTAGGCGACCGGTTCAATAGTGGCTAAGGAGCGACTAGACTTGTCTCCATCATTGGCATTTGCGGTTGCAAGGCATTTGACTATACCTGATACACCTCCACGGAGGAGAAGTAATAGACAGAAAGATAAAGGAGAATGTAATAAAGAGAGGGCTATTCGGTAAACTGGTAGAGATAAATTATGTGTAGATTATAAATCACGTTTAAGATAATTGGAAAAAACTACCAAGAGAAAAGTTACTGGCAAAAGCATTGAATAACATATATGCATATATAATAACTTTTTAGGGAAATCAATTGCTTCGGTGAAATCCGGCCCTTTAAATATTAGAGTTCTCATCAAGAGTGTAATTCACTTGCGTTAAAAAATTAAAATTGATAAAATAAAATATTCATCTAAAACATAAAAAATCGAACCTTATAAACCAATGTAAGAATACAAAAGCTATTTAATGACTGAAGTGATAAAAGTCAATTGTCATGAAACCAACTATCCGGTTGTGTGGCCTACCAGACTTCAAGCTAGATATACTTCCTTTTTCTCTGCAACTTCCATTTCTACTGATAATTCCAGTAAAGTATCCATAAAATATAAGTGGGTTGACCTCGTTGTCTCAACTTGGTCTTGTTGTCAGGACGACTATGTAGAACTCACCTAGTCCGAAGTCGTCTGCCATAGTAGTTGTCATTATTCCCAGCATCTGACAGTGGACTTAAAACATTCTCTAAAGTTTCGCAGGCATCGTAGTCGGCATCATCAGTGAGCTTTAACATTCTCCGCACCAAGCTACGAACTCGTCAAAGAGACATGTGAAGTCAATCGCTTGACAGCCATTCTGCCGAAAACAGTTACACTATCACTCCTCTTTCTGTCATTGCCTATCTATCTACTCTTTACACTCTTATCCCACCGCCGCCCTATATTGGCGAAACAGAGATAAAAATTAGAATACGAATCAAGGAACATCAGAGGCTCTGCAGGAAAATGGATACTTAAAGATCAGAACTAGCGGAAAACATCGTGGAGACTGGACACAAGATAAATTGGAAGGCAACAGAAAGGAAAGCTCCATACGGTGACAATACAAGGAAGCGCAAGATTAGGGAAAACATTGGGAGAAAAATCCAATGAACAGGAGATTGGAGGAAGGTAGAGTTAGCGATAACTTTGCCTACTGCCTAAGCAAAATCGGGGTAAACAATAGAGCAAGACCAGCAAAAAGAAGACGCCTGAACCAAGGATCTGCCGCTAACCGGAGGAAAAGGGATTGCGATGACGAAAATGGGGGGCAGGAGTATTCGGCAATTAAGCGAAGACGTTGTCAGTGCGTAATGGCCATTTTGAATAAGCCA